GGGGGGGTGAGGGGTGGGGGAGAGGAGAGAGGGTGAGGTTTGCAAAGGACCCTTGGATTCTGTGGGGCTGTGACTTAAGTTGAACCTAGTCGGGGTATGGGGCAGAAGTTCAATAAACCAATTTAACCTAAATCAGCTAAGTCTGATACTACATCCAGCCATGTTTATCTTAAAGTAGTTTGGCCACTTTGAAAGTGGTTTATGTGCACTAAACTTCTGTTGCGTTACAGATTTGAGCCAGTTTCTGATCAACTATGCCGGTTTATGTGTAATTTCTGTCCCTGGCCCATTTGGATAAGATGGAGGTGATAGGTCACACCTTAACCTTCCTTATAGAATAGCAAACCACAGCATGTACAAGTTACAGCATAGTTTTTTCCACCTTGATCTCAACAGCAGTTGATTCAATGAGTCTGGTGCATGTGGAAGTTGTTGAAATCAAGATGGGGCATCATCTACTGAAACTTGTGGTCTATGGGTTGTATTAAAAATGGAGGTGTGAATGCAGCCATAGGCTGCAAAAGAGCAGAGTAGCCTACCTCTGGCCTGTAAGGAACATTTGAAATGATCAGAATGAAATTTATGGAAAAAGCAACTTATTTACAGACATATATAAATGAATAGCAGTGAAAAAAATATCAGCTGTTTCTTACACAAGTTTTTACTTCACTAATTTTTTTTTTTTTTTTTGGCAACACAGCCTGCCACCTCTAGATTTATATTGCATGGGCAAAGAAAAAGCAGGATTATTTGTCATCTCCACACAATGGCACTCCTTTAGCATAAAAACTTCATGCAATACTTGAAGCTTAGAGAGCAAGCTTAGTACTCCTGCAAAGGAAATGTCAAGGGAACAGAAGCAAATATAAACAACGTGGAAGGAATGGCCTATTCTGTCAAAAGAATAGTATGATATTTGATTTTGACTGCCAAACCTAGAGCAAACCCATGCAACTAAAATGCCCCTTGCTTTCATGAAAGCAACTTATTTTTAAAGTAATAGAAACAAAGAACTGTTTAAACACAAACAACCCCTCCCCCCCTCCCCACAAACCACAAGAGCATCACTTACTTTTCCTATGGCTCCCCAGTGCAATTAGGTAGTCGTTTCCTAGAGGTGTCTGTAGATCTGAGCTGGTGATCACCACAGTCTCTGGTCCCATAGCATGAAGCATATCCATTACCTTCCCAAGTGTGAAAGACAAACCATTTTATTGCATATCACTCATGGATTCTGGATATCTTTGCTTCAGTAATACTAGTCCCTGCGACCCTCAGAGGGAATTTATCTGAGGCTTCTCAATCCCCCTTTTCATTTTGGGAACTAGGTGTTGGAATGTTTCAAAGCTCATATGTATATGTATAAATTGTGTATATGCACACGAACATGCAAGTGTTGTACTTTATACAGATACATATTTCCTGTTTCTGTATTTCTAACCTGAAATAATAATCCACCACTTGTGACATCACGGTTGGTTGCTATGGGTGAGAGTTTGATTTCACAAAAGAATGAGTGATTTCAGTAATGGATTTATCATAAGCAGCAGATAAAATATTAAATCCCCTAGAAGAATTTAACAAAAGATCTTCTCAGTTTACTTATGACTCATAAGCACTGAATAAGGACTTATTTCTGTTATTTTATTCTGTGCTGCTTTCCTTTCTTCTAAGCTTCAAAGTTACTTAAGCAGACTTCTTCACACACGCACATATGGTAAAAAGCAGCTACCTATCCAGCTTATACAATGTATCTATGAAGTAATGAAAAATCAAATTTTCTTGTATCCTGAAAAGTTCTTCAAGAATTCTAGTATTTCCCATTTCAGGATTCATTCTCCACTACACTAACAACTGGCTCTGTTTAGTTGGGGATAATGCTAGAATTAATCTCAATCTAGACTTTGGGTAAAATTCTGATCCCAAGAAGTCAATAGTCAAAATAGTCAAAAGTCAAAACATCTATTGGTTTCAGTGGAGAAGGATTTTATTTTGGGAATTTGTCTTCACAGGACAGGCCTGTCTTTCAGGCAGTGGAAGAAAAACATGTCCTCAAAGCCACATATGCACACACACACAAGCAACAGTAGAAACCAATTTTCAAAGCAAAACATACTTTTATTGCTACCCACATAAAAATATTCTCATCTAGAAATAATGCTAAGAGAGATTTTTATTAGCAAAAAAGGGTCAGGATTTGGCAGCTGTCTAGCGATCAGACTGATTGATGGATAATTCGTTTGTAAAATCGCTACTCACTAGCATATTAAAAAACATTCATATGTGCGTAAAAACTAACTTTCCCAATATAAAGCGCACTCCTTAGGTGAATACTTGGGCGCTCGGTTCCACCAATGAGGATAAGAATAGCACACAGTGTTATAATTAGCAGCAAGTTGTATGAAGGGTTTTCCCTGAGAATAGCATACCAAGGGGATGCAAAACAGAAAAATAAAAAGAGCATGTGATCTTTAGAGCAGCTCTCTACTGGAAAAAAGATGATCAGTAACTGACATTCAGATGGCTTTGCCACAGGAAAAGCTGAAAACATCAGCACTGCTGCAGTCTGATTGCTCTCCTGGGTGTTGTTACAGCCACTGTTTGCCTGAAACTTGGATTCCCACAGGAAAGTAGACAAATCAGATCAGAAGAAATAACCCCAGAGTCCATTCAGCAAAGGATTTTAATCACATTCACTGACATGAAGTGTGCTGGAGCAGAACTGAATCCTTCCTAAGTCACCAGTTACACCATGTTGTACCATTTTCTGTTCTGACTGCAGATTTCAGCATTTTCTTGAGAACAAGTGTGTCCCTACAGTGCTAATTCCTCACCTCAGAACAGTGCGTTTCTGAAACTGGGAATCTCAGCTCTCCATACCAGTATCATGACCCCTGTACTTGCAACCTGGAAGCATCTAACCACCAAAACTTGCAGCAGGGTTCTAAACCTTTGTCCACCCTGGACTGCCACCTTGCCACTCAGCTTTCTGGATATTAGACCACCTGTTCCCTTTTAGTGAAAAATCTTGTTCCTTGTGATCTGCAGCAGGAAAACAATCCAGACCCCAATCCTTCCTGCCTTGTAGTATCACAGACCTAGTCAGAATGTTTTCCTCTCTAGCACATCATAAGCAACATAGGAGCTATCAAAGGAACTGGATACTGCCAACAGAGGGAGCTGCTAGCATAACACTGTCATCTATAGCTACTTTTAGGACTGAGTACAGTTTTCATCTTAATTAGTGCATTTTTCCATTGCGGACGGGGCAAAATTTACAATACATGATGCTTCCCTCCCCTCCCCCTTTCATAAATACTTGGTTCAGGGTGAAATATTTATTACCCCTCCATCCCCACTTTCTTTTTCCTTAAGTCCTTGGGAAAAATTTTCCATTTTGTGCTGGACCTTTGAAAGGAAAAACATTGTGGCTATGTCCAGATATGCATGACACTTGGTTCCCCAGGGACACATAGTGGCAGCGCACCTTGTGCCACCACTAGTTGTCCCCAGGAAACGTGCGCTCTGGTGCACGGCAAGTTACCCCAGGGGGAAAAGGGGAGGCTGGGGCCAGCACTGGGCTGGCCACAGCAGCCTTCCCCAGGGACCTGGGGGCTTTCTAGGATTGCAGTGATGGCAATCCTGCCACGTGGAGCCTGGCTGGCAGCAGAATGCAGCTCTGGCCAGCCAAGCTCCAGCTTCATGTGGCACACACTGCTGCCACATGCACCACTCTGCTTTTTTTTTTCCCCCATGGGCTTTTCTGATGCCTGGATATCAAGGTGTCAAAAAAAACCAATCCTCCATGCTGCTTCCTTGCAGCACAGAGAACAACTTAACATGCAGTATGTGGCACCACAGACATGTCTGCAGTGCCAGCTACTGCATGGCCACGCTCGTCTGGATGCAGCCTGTGTCCAAAGCACGTCCCCTAATTATCAAAACTCATTAGAGAAACAAAGAAGAACGGAAATGAGGCTATCTGTAGCTTTATAGATACAAAAGAAACAGCAAAGTAACACGCAGATATCTGGACGTGCACACCAGACCCCATTTACCTCTATAGCTTCTTTTTCTGTGTGAATCTTTCTTCCTGTGAGTAACCTAGAGTCAAGAAAACAAATTTTAAAAAGACAACATATTAGAAGCAACCTCTCTTTTTTAACCTAGATGAATATTTTGAACATTTGCAAGTCAATCTAAAGCAATTTACTGCATTAGATTGTGGCTGTACACAAAAGTCCTGAAAGACAATAGATACACATTTGTCCTGCTTTAAAGTTGTTTAAAATTGTGAAAACTTGTGAATATGACCCCTGTGACTAGTCAAGTACTTCTTGCAGGAGTTCTGATTGCCTCAGAAAACCCTATCACCTTACTTATAGTCTCCCATGAAACTATACAACTCTCTCCCTTCAGAGGAAAGGAGGCCTGCTGCATCGTCGGGGTCTGACCAAGGAGCCCAGATGACAGAAGAGAAAGACGCATGAGACACCTAAACTACAACTCCAATTGAGTCATTAGGCAGGTATTTCTAAATCAAGATATTTCCATTTTCAGCCAGAACATTACTTTTTTAATGGAAAAAAAATCAAATTTTCTATTGCCCCAGGGGGCAAGACATACAGAGGAACACCATTCTAAGAAAAATCAACGCCAATACGTACATACACAAAAGGAAACTTTGTGTACAGCAAAAGGAAAATTTGTCTCTACTTGTAGTCACTGATTGACCAGCTATTGAGAGAGAGACAGAAATGAGTACTTACTCAGCCTCAAACTGGTTAGGGGTAATTATGTCGGCAACAGGTACAACTTTGTCCCTGTAAACTGGAAGAAGGTCTTTTGGCACATACTGAAAATGAATAGGAAAATTGAACCCTATCAGCGATAATTCTGGAAGTTATGGAGGTATTTTTTCTTCCTTACATTTATCTTCATTCTGTAATATGCACACTACTTACTGTATCCAAATAGGAGGAGTATTTAACAGTTGAAGAATGAATTTTGAATCCTAGTTAATCTTCCTAACTGCGCAGATGACTTGATGTGACCTTGGATAAACCTCTCTGTTTCAGTTTTCCACCTCTCTCAAATAAAGAATTACTCTCTACCTAGCTTGAGGATAACTTCAATGCGAGTACAATTATTTTGACAGCAGGAGTGGCCAGGCTTCAGCATAGGCAGCCTCTGTGTATAGCTGGACAGGTCAGAGAGGGGACAGGCAGCACAGTGGCAGAAGGGGCAGGGAGTGCAAAACAGAAAAGCAGATCAGGCAGGGAGCCCAAGGCAGAGAGCAGAGCAGCAGATCAGGCAGGAGAAGGGGATCAGAGTGGTACTCAGGAAGGACATGGGGCTTAATTTGTTGCACACTTGCCAAAAAGGTTGGCCCCCACTGTATCATAGGATCAAACCAACTCTTCGGGGCAAGAGCTAACTTTTTGCTCTGTCTATGAAAGAGCTTTACACAGGGGGGGCCCTACCCCATGACTAGGGCTCCTGGGTACAGTGAAAATACACATATGAAGTGATAAAAGACTGGGATTAAACAACAGACTCCTCAGCATCCTCCCTGTCTTGATGTCTTGTCAAGATCCCCCTCTCCACCGGCTAGTCACAGGAGTCGGGGAAAGGAGAGAGATTCTAAACTGGAGGGGCCAATGCCCGATTCCTGGGTTTCTGGGTCTCCCAAGCTTCTCCCTCGGGAAGTTAAGGGTGGGGGCTGAGGAGAGAAGCAAAATGTCCCATCCTAAAGCCCCAGACTTGCTTCTCCTTCACCAAATGATACTATTTTATTGTTGCCATTAGAGATCTGCTGGGCACAGGAGCCCACCCACATGAATGTAGTTGCAGACTGGAAACTAAGCACGACACAAGCTACTGAGATAATTTTTTTATTTTTTTTTAGAAAGAAATTCTGAGCAATCCTTGGAGCAAGAAGGAATGCAGTCTCTTTGGATTTATTGTATTTACTTGGATATAAGATGACCCTGATTGTAAGACAACCTCCCAATAATTAGATACTATACATGGAAAAATTATAAATTGCATATCATTTTCCAGATATAGAATCTAATTATTGGAGGTATGCCTTGAATCTGTCCTCCTCCTACTGCTAGAGCAGGGAAAATAAATCTGGGGGGTCGGGTAGCCATTTTGCTCTCAGCTTCCCCCAGCTTCTTCCCCTTGCAGCCCCATCCCCCTCTTCTTACTATAAAAAACGTGCTCTTCCTGAGCACATGGAAGTGATGGACAAATTTGGAAAAACTGACTTTGAAATAAAACATAACTGTCGTCATTTGCAGACAGTATCCATAGACTTAGTTCATCTAGACTTGATGCAGTGTACCTTTTCTGAAATTGCCGCAGGGGGCAGCCTCTGTGTATAGCTGGACAGGTCAGAGAGGGGACAGGCAGCACAGTGGCAGAAGGGGCAGGGAGTGCAAAACAGAAAAGCAGATCAGGCAGGGAGCCCAAGGCAGAGAGCAGAGCAGCAGATCAGGCAGGAGAAGGGGATCAGAGTGGTACTCAGGAAGGACATGGGGCTTAATTTGTTGCACACTTGCCAAAAAGGTTGGCCCCCACTGTATCATAGGATCAAACCAACTCTTCGGGGCAAGAGCTAACTTTTTGCTCTGTCTATGAAAGAGCTTTACACAGGGGGGGCCCTACCCCATGACTAGGGCTCCTGGGTACAGTGAAAATACACATATGAAGTGATAAAAGACTGGGATTAAACAACAGACTCCTCAGCATCCTCCCTGTCTTGATGTCTTGTCAAGATCCCCCTCTCCACCGGCTAGTCACAGGAGTCGGGGAAAGGAGAGAGATTCTAAACTGGAGGGGCCAATGCCCGATTCCTGGGTTTCTGGGTCTCCCAAGCTTCTCCCTCGGGAAGTTAAGGGTGGGGGCTGAGGAGAGAAGCAAAATGTCCCATCCTAAAGCCCCAGACTTGCTTCTCCTTCACCAAATGATACTATTTTATTGTTGCCATTAGAGATCTGCTGGGCACAGGAGCCCACCCACATGAATGTAGTTGCAGACTGGAAACTAAGCACGACACAAGCTACTGAGATAATTTTTTTATTTTTTTTTAGAAAGAAATTCTGAGCAATCCTTGGAGCAAGAAGGAATGCAGTCTCTTTGGATTTATTGTATTTACTTGGATATAAGATGACCCTGATTGTAAGACAACCTCCCAATAATTAGATACTATACATGGAAAAATTATAAATTGCATATCATTTTCCAGATATAGAATCTAATTATTGGAGGTATGCCTTGAATCTGTCCTCCTCCTACTGCTAGAGCAGGGAAAATAAATCTGGGGGGTCGGGTAGCCATTTTGCTCTCAGCTTCCCCCAGCTTCTTCCCCTTGCAGCCCCATCCCCCTCTTCTTACTATAAAAAACGTGCTCTTCCTGAGCACATGGAAGTGATGGACAAATTTGGAAAAACTGACTTTGAAATAAAACATAACTGTCGTCATTTGCAGACAGTATCCATAGACTTAGTTCATCTAGACTTGATGCAGTGTACCTTTTCTGAAATTGCCGCAGGTTTTAGCACAAGTACTACATAATCACACTTCATAATCAGATGCCAAAGTGCTACTTAAAGTAGTACAAACTATGCATGATATTAGTCCAAAGCCAAAAGGTTGACAATTTACTGTATAGTTCGCTGGCCTGGGCTTCACCAGAAACAAGTGTTTCAAGCAGTGGTGATCCAACAGCTCAGCACTGCTCAGTATGCACGTGTACTCCAGATTACAACCCTCCTGCCCCAAAAAGAGCCATGTGCTAATTAGTTCCTCACTCATGACTAGAACTGAGTGAGTACTGGGATCCTCCAAAAAATTATATGAAGATGAGACACAGGGAAATCTGGCCTGGCTTCACTTTATGGGGGGAGGGGGAGACACACTAATCCCATGCAACAGGCTGAGAGAGGGAGGGACAGAGGAATTCTGGGTGAACTGTTTGGAACCCCATTTCATGATGTTTGCCAGACATTTAATGCTGGTGAAGAAATAGGAATCACTGGAAATAGGGGAGAAAGGTGCAGCTCAGCTGTGGTAGTAAAGAGGAAGTAAAAATGTATGTAATGTAGCGGCTCACCATGACTTTAAAGAGTCGGTACCGAAGGGGATCGTGTTCATCAGGCATGGGCATATATCTGTTTTGCAACCTGTGTACCATGGCACAAAAGTGTGAACAGGTGTGCTGCGGAATTTTCCCATGGCAATGAGCTATGATAGGTATGAAGATGGGGAATGCCTTAATAGGTGTGCCGTGGAAAATTTGTATTAATGTAAGTGTTCCTTGGGCTGGGGAAAAGGTTGAGAAACACTGATATATCTTATTCAGATATGGCTACACCCATCTATCTTTGTGATAGGTTCCCATCAGCATCTTGGCCTTTTGGCTAAATTCAAATGTAGCATTTTTGGCTAAATTCAAATGTAGCATTTTTGGCATCAATGAGAGGGTGTCAGGCTTGGCTCTGCCTCTCCCAGTGTCAGTTCCCTGTGGGAGGAATACCTGCCCTTGCCCCTTTTTTGTTTTGGAGCTTGGGGCAGGCGGCGCGGGGGGGGGGGGGGGGGGGGGGGGTATTGTGTTTAAGGGCATGCATAAAACTAGGTTCCCATCAGCATGTTTGCCCAATACGGGTCATGTACTTTTAATAGTAAGGCCCAGTGTTGGCTGCATTTAAATCAGCTTCATAGTTGGTTTCCTTTACTGAGCCTATGCTGTTTTCAGCAGTTCCAAAGACAGACACAGTATTTAATGTGTTTTCCTTGTATAAGACAAGGGGCTTTTTATCCAATGCTGATTGGGGGAGGGAGGACCTCATCTTGTATTTGAATAAATACATTATATCTGAATACATAAAAACATAAAAATAAATTACATGAAACGTGAAATAAGAGGCCATTTCAGCTTCCATGATATGAACAGGATACAGACATTAAAACTAAAGAATTCTTTAACTGGAGGCAAGAGTCTAACATACCAAATGGATTTTTAAAATTTATTTTACTTTGTTTTTTTTATATTAGGACTTTATTGGGATCTCTTTCTAAAGCGTCTTACAGAAAAGTGCCTGATACTTTCCACTTTCTTGTCCTTTCTCTATGCCACATTCCCTTTTATGAATGTCTTGACAGCTATAGCAGCTGCTGATGCTGGAAGCACAATTCTTCTGCTTCTTAGTGTGCCTGCTGTTTTCTTGTCAAACCAGTTCCAGCTGCTGCAGGAGTGGCAGAAATCTAAGAGCACCAGCAAAGCCACCCACTCTTCCTTTTTGACCAATTAGCTTTGTACTTTTACTACTTAAAGCTGAAAGCAAACTACTGTTCCTGCAAGTAACCCAGTAACTCACCATTCCCCAAGTACCCTATATCTCTATCAAGAGAACGCTTAAAAGAGGGAAAAGGAAGGAGGACTGAAGAGATTGGGAGTCAAATTAAGTCTTGATGTAAATGGCAACAGTATTAGAAATCAAAGTTGCTGCAGAACAATTGAATTTTGCTCTATTAGTTTTCTGATGTTGACTAAGCAAATAATGCATGCTCAACAAATATTAAAAGCCTACCAGCCTGTGTGTGCTTCAGTCCATAGACTGAAAAAAAAAAAAAAAGTATAACTTAACATTCAGGCAATGGCATGAAAACCCTATCAGTGTACTGGAGTTTGCTTAGGACAGTTTTGTGAATGTTTTCATTCCTGTTGTAACTCAGATTCAATGACTGCTAATTAACCTGAGTTAATTAGCCCCTTTGGAACAAGTTTACCTGGGTTAACATTCTCCATGCCTTAGTTACCCATGGTGGCTAATACCTCCCTGCTTCCATTTTCTGGTCTCAGCTGTTACACTTTTAGATGCCTTCAGAGACAATGTCTGTGTGTTCCCCACCTTCATGAGGCTCCAATCTCAGGTGTGGCCTCTAAATGCTACTAGTATATAAATACTGTATTATCTTGAATATCACACCCTGCCCCCCTAGTAATGTACACACTTGTTTTGGAAAGGCAGAATGAAGGGGACATAAAGACACTTCCAAAGGTATAGCCCCTCAGAGCAGAGACAGAGCCTAATCTTCAGCTCACTCAGCCTCCCCTTTCCTCGTGAGGCAAAAACTACTATCTTAACTCTTTCACAAATGAATCATCAACAGCTCTTGGGCTGCTCAGCCAAAAGCTGAAACTGTAGCTGCTGCTGAAGGCTAGACTTCATGAGTGGATCCAGGATTTTGAAAAGTGCTAAAAACAGTCTGCAGGACTATGAAATAGGAGAAGAGGGACAAAGAGTAACTAACAGACAGCAAAATTGAGAGAAGATGCACTAGATTGATTGGTGGAACATCAAGACCATGAAAAAAGAAGAGAGGGTCGTTAACACTTGTGGAATGAAAAGTAATTACAAGATCTCTGGTCATTTATAATGAGCCATGAAGTCAACTGGCTCCACCAGCACTGCCTGAACAGAGAAACCACTGCTGCTTCTGGGTGGTTGCTTTTAAACTTTGGATAGAGGAAGAATTAAAGGGGGGCTCCACCCATCCCACTGCACCTGCAGGTCCCTGGATCAGCCATTGCTAGAGTCCACTCTTCCTTCCATACAACTGCTAGAGGGAGGAAGAAGAAAAGCAGCAGCAGCTATCTTTGTGAGCCACCTTACACTGTGAGCCACACAAATGTTGAAGTGTGCTAATGCTAGCCTGAGTTTGGAGCAGTTGCACTTCAGGCCAACAGAGACCTAGAGGAAGGAAAGCTAAGAAACTCTCCCACTCCCATTCTGGACTTCCCCCCTGCCCCTTGGGGTTTCCCCCTGCCTCCTGCAATCTACCTCCTTTAGCCCCCATCATCCCCCCTACCTCCTGCTCCCTTTAGCCCCCATCCCCAGAGCATTACTTACTTGTGGATGCCTGTGCTGTCTGTCTGTCCAAGGGGAGCAGGCAGAGAAGGGTTAACCAGCTTGCCCTGCTGCTGGTATGCTGCTCTTCCAGCCCAGAGAGCAACAGCAGCTGTAGCAGTCATTTAATCGTTCCCTGCCTGCGTCCCTGTGAAAGACAGCACAGGCAGCCACAAGTAAGCAGGGATGAGGGATGCTGGGGATTGGGGCCCAGTGGGCCCGATTGCAGCCAGCAGGGGAGGCAGGGACAGGTGGGGCGTTTACACTAAGGAATAGCTCAGAGTGGCTACACCTTACTGCAACAGGAGCTGGGTAGTATGGATCAGAGATAATCCTGCCCCAGAGTGGTGTAACTTTCTGCTGCATAATGAGTGCTTAAAATCAGGTTCAGGTGTTAATGTGCAGCCAATACAGGTGTTAACAGCTCCAGGAGCCACCCAATATTACCATGTAACAAGGCCCTTACAGCATGTTCATGCTTTTATTCTGGGCAGAAAAATGAGCTTCCCTGCTTATGACATGCACCACAATTTTGGATCGGCTAATTTGGGGGGAAGCTACACATGGTATGTGAGTAAATACATTATATAAAGGAGCTCATCATTGAATCTTCCTTTGGGCCAAAACTCCCATCAATGTATCAGGCTGGGCCAGCACATTACATGCTGCCCATGAGTATTAAGGTTAGCCAGCACCTTGCAGATGCACTGGACTGGGCCCTCACACATCAGTCCCGTGGGGCCTGTTGAGTTTGACACCCCTGTTCAACAAAGACGACAAAACCAGAACAGGTGCAAAAAGAAAAAAAAGAAGGTCAGGAGAACAGAGTACCAATTTTATGAGAAGAGGCTAAAAGAGCCCAGATAAAATAAAACCTAATAGGGTACAATTGCTCTAAGTAAATCACAGGGGCTAAGTAGCAAGGAAGAAGACAAGTTATCTTACTTAAAAAACAAACTTAAGTGGGCATAAATGAGCAATGAGTAATCAATGCCAGAAAATAAAGTGACACAGCCTTCCAATACAAGTAATGGGAGCAAAAGACTTCACTCATCTTAACTTGGAGTTTAATCACTTTATCAATGAAATTGCATGGTGCGCTTGCCTGCACACCTTCCAGTCCTGTGCCCTTAACTGATTAACCAAGAACATAAAAGATAAGCTTTGGTGTATGGCCAGAATTCTCTGTGATGGTTGTTTATCAGAAAAAAGTAACTCTTAAAACAAACTCAATGTAATTTTACAGTGGCACCCCCTCACAGCCAGTGTTCTCCTCTTAGGCAAGAGGTTG